GGGATTTCACCCCTTGGTTTGTTAAGAACGCCTGGAGGTATTTTCAAGACATCTGTGGGGTTGCTCGCCCTGTTTCTTGAGATCCTGACGTTGGTCCTCTTCTGGCCCTACAACCTGGACATCGTGGCTGCTCTGTGACATCAGATGATTCTCCGACCACCTCTGTGACCTCTATCTCCACAGGGAAATCCTCCCGCTGGGCCCAGGGCTCCCTGGGGATCCTGTGGAAAAGGCAGACTGATCAGTCGGGTTGAGGCGGGTCCTGACCACACCTTGCGGGTCCCAGATCCAGACCCCACCCTGCTCTCTGCCAAGAGACTGAGCCCTCTCCCTGCAGCACCTGCCCACTATAGACTGGTACCCACCATGGAGCACCCGCCCAGTGGCGCCCTCTGGCTCGCAGCAGGGGTGGGTCAGTGGGAAGCAGCGGCTGGAGTTGGGAGCAGCTGTTCCTTCCCTGCGGAGGCCAGGAGTCCTTCTCTGCAGCTCCAGATCTTTCCAGAGACAGGAACACAGTTCCCCCATCCCTGCATCCTAGAGGCCTCGGGGTGCAGTGATAGGCAGGACAAGGGGCCTGGAAAGAGGTCCCTGTGTCAATCCGTGGGACCTGTGAACACATTACTTTGTATGGCAAAAGGGTCTTTGCAAATTGTGACCCTGAGATGGGGAGATTCTTCTGGATTACCTGGTGGACCTGTGGCATCATTGGGGACTTTATATGTCAAAGAGGGAGTAGAACGGCTGTGTGAGGAAGACTCGTCTGGCCGGTACTGGCTTTGAAGATGGAGGGGAGAGCCAGCAGGGGAGGGGTGCAGGGGTCTTGAGAAGCTGGGCACGGTGACGCATACCTGTAATGCTAGCCACTTGAGAGACTGAGGCAGGAGGATCACAAGTTCCAAGCCAGCCTGGGCAACTTAGCAAGACCCCATTTCAAAATTAAAAAAAAAAAAAGGACTGGGGATGTAGTTCAGTGGTGGAGCACCCCTGGGCTCGACCCTCAGTACTGCAAAAAAAGAAGCCGAGCAACCAAGAGGACAGGAGGACAGTCCCCAGGATCTGCAGGAGGAACGCAGCCCCGCCAGCACCCTGACCCCACACTTCAGACCTCTACCTTCCAGGGCCGGGAAATGGCCACCAGCTGTCCATTCTGCAACTGCTGTGCACGCTGCCCAGGCACTAGACACTGGGCAGTGAGCAGGACTGGCCGCAGAGGGGACCCCTTTCCGGGGTTAGAAATAATCAGTGTGACAGCTGGAGTGTGGCTCAGTGGTAGGGCGCTTGCCCGTGAGTGAGGCCAAGTTCCAATCCTGCAAAAAAGGGAAGAGAAGCAATGAGTATAAACCTGCTGACAGTATTTGGCGCATAATTATTGCTTAGCAAATGAAAGGCGTTTGGGTTTGCTCCTCTTCCCTTCGTCTTGATTCAGGCCCCTCCCAAGCTGTGTGCGTGCCTTCTCTCCTTCAATGGCAAAAGTCCTTCAAGACGCGGAGGGAGACAGGTACTTATTTTGTATTCCTAGAGCACCTAGCCCCATGCCCCGCTCACGTGCTCATTAAATCGTGATTCAGTGGGTGCGTGCGTGCCCTGAACGGCACCTTTGAATGGGAATTATAATCACGACAAAGCCAAAGCAGCAAGGGGCACGCAGGTGCACCTATGCCACACACCCGAGAAGAGGGTGATACTGAAATTGATCCTGAGGTCTCAGTAAGCCCCATCACATCCGTCATAAAGAAATAAATTTTTTATTCATAAATTCAAAACAAGACTCAGACCTCAACAGGAAAAAAAAAAATGTCAAGCAACATAAAGGAAACCCAGCCAGCGCACGTGAAAAGATGCTCAGATTCACTTCTAAGAGAAATGCGAATTTAATTTCCCAGAACCGGCACGTCTCACCCATGTGACGGACGACAAGGGTGAGAAAAGTTGTTTGATGTGGAGCTGATCAAGGTGGAACAGGACAGGCTGTTCAGCCTCACTGAGTGATGATTTGGCGTTAGGTATCCAAGTGACACATGTAAAACCCTGGCGCACAGTGCTTTTGGAGCGGGACATGTGTTCCAAGTTGCTCAGGGCTCCAATGCACAGTTAGGAAGCCCTGCAGACGGCAGGCGCCGAAGAGACTTTCCATCATATCCTGCTTTCAACCTTTCCCATTTTTCTAAGTGAATGTAATACCTATTTAAAAAAAAAAAACCCCAAAATTTTAAAATTCAGAAATGCTTTAAGCCCGGAAGAAGGACTTTAAAAACAAAGACAGGGCCAGGCTGTGTCTCAGGGGTAGAGCGTTTTCCTACCCAGTGTGAGGCCCCGGGTTCCATCCCCAGCACCAAAACCAAACAAAATCTGTGATCTCAGTAATGATGGCATTGAGATGAAACGACTCGTTCCAAACTACAGGGTGGACGAGGGAACGCCAGCCCAAGGAGCCAGATCATCCACCATGGAGCTGAATTTGGTTAAAGCAGTGGGTAGATACGCAGATCCAGAACGGAGACCCTAAAATATGTTGGTGCTTACAGTCGCCCAGGGTAACCAAGAGGGCTAGCTAGACAGGCCTTCTGCGTGGTCATGGGGTCTCCTCTGTTCAGAATAAGTGGGGAAGCAAGAGCTGAACTATTTGCCGTGCAAGGGTCTAGATTTCTAGAAAGAGATCCAGAGAAGCTGACCTTGACTACAACAGGAGAGCAGTTGGACACTCCAGCCAGCGTCTCTGGGCACACACAAACACACAGAGGACCCTCTCACTGGTCGAGAATAGCTCCCATGGCCCCTCCTCTGAATCTTAACCCCCTACAAACAACTCCCGCAACCATCAGTTCCAGCAGACACCCCTGACTACCGCCTCCTCCAACCCAATGACCACGCCTGCAGGTTCACGCCTCTCCACTAGAGGCGCTGTCGCCTTCATCCACGCCCAGCGTCTAACTTCCAGAGCCACGTGGAAGAGGATGTGAACCCCAAACAATTCCTTCTGGTTCAGTATGACCATGGTCTTACCAGGTACCGATGACATCAGTTCCGAGCATCACCTACTATTACTTTGTTCATAAACTGCCTGCGGGTCTTACAGTATGGTATTGCTTTTTTTTTTTTTTCTTTTGGTACCTGGGATTGAACTCAGGAGCACTTGACCACTGAGCCCCATCCCCAGCCCTATTCTGTATTTTGTTTAGAGACAGGGTCTCACTGAGTTGCTTAGCGCCTCATTTTTGCTGAGGCTGGCTTTGAACTTGGCATCCTCCTGCCTCAGCCTCCCGAGCTGCTGGGATGACAGGTGTGCGCCAGCGTGCCTGGCTGTATTGCTTTCTTATTACCCTTATTTTAGTAGCTATATTTTTTAATTTTAAAAAATTAATATATATACACATAACTGTACATAGTTATGGGGTACAGTGTGGTGTTTCAAAACATGTGTCCAATGTGTAATGATCAGATCAGGGAAATTGGCATATTTACACTTAACACTTTAAGCATTTATCATTTTTGGGGGTTGGGAACATTCAAAAGTCTACTAGCTATTTTAAAATGTACAATTAATTGTCAACCATCGTCACCCTATGGGCTACAGAATATTATCAATTCTTCTCCTGTCAAACCGCAGCTGTGTAAGCGTTAACCATGTTCTTTCCCCCGACCCTCCCCAGTAGCCACATTTTATATTGTGATAGTGTTTGAGGATTTAAAGAGTCAGACCTCAAGTGACACAAATATTAGCTCCTTGGTGACTACACTATTACCACCATCAAAGAGCAACTACCACCAGTTCAGCATTGTTTTGCAAATTCAGTGTTTGGAAACTTAGCTGGTTCCTAGGAAATGAAAAAAAGAATCTGCAATAAAAGCATCTGCTTGAGGTTATGGTCCCCTTCACCACCCTTGGGGTCAAGGCCACGGACATGCAATGGGATCCAAGAGCAGGGCTTCACCAGGAACCTTTTCATTGCCAAGTTGAATAAGCACTTAGGTCTCTGCCCACAGTTGATTTGTGTGGGAATTCCTGCTTTGCCCTTCATTTCCTATCTACTTCTGAATAGGAGCTACATGGCTAGAAGGTTCTTTCATGACCTAAGGCCAGGTCATAACACCAGCCTCTGTGTGCAACCCAAGCTCTCAGGAGATGGCATGGACCTGAGCGTCTCCATGCCAACAGCCCCTGGGGCTGGTCACCAAATGTTAGTGCAGTGTGACAACCCAAGCGAGCCCCCCCATCCCCCGGAAGTTGGAAGTTACAAGTTAAGATTCCTGCAACCGCCCTGCCGCCCTTCCTCCAGACTCCCCTTACTGGGAACAGTTGTCTAACTTCTGTCTTGACCCCAGGCACCTTCAGAAGTGCCTCACAAGGACACCTGGCTGTCTTCTGACTTGGTAGGCAGCCACTGAACCCAGTGGCTTTGGGCTGTGCTCAATCCAGTGTCTGGCACATGTGCGGTGCCTTGGGTTGTTTTCTGAATAAAGTAAAACAACTAAGCTGGCTGGATCCGATGACCTCCATGAAATAACTCAGTTGAGATGGAGAGGAGGCCACGGTGTCTTACAGTATAAATAATGCAAATCACAGAACTAATCACTGTTTTGTTTTACAATTTCTTTTTGCTCATGCTGTGTACACTGTTGCCAGAAGACAACAGCCTGGTTTGAATGTGGCCTAAACCTGCTCTAAAGGAAAGCGCCACTGTCCCACATTGGACTTCACTCCTCCGACAAGCCTCCCTGAGCACCCCTTACCTGCACCCCACCCAAAGCGTCCACACCCAGCCCTGTGCGTTTCCTAATCCCTCTGATGCACCTTAGGCTTTACTTTGTCTCCTAGAGCTCTTTCTGCAGTTGGCACTCAGTGAGGACCGATTCCTTTCCTCCCCACCCCGTATCCCAGGGCACCTTCTAGCTCGGAGCAGCTGGATGTGAACGTGGTGCCAGTGAGAGGGGCTAAGAGACCCACCATCCCAATTGTTCCCTGGACATTTCTGATGAAGTAAATGACAAATACCATGATATAAGAAAAATGGTTTTATTCCTAATTTTTAGTTCCATACAGTTTACAAATACACTTTACTCTGTAATAACGGCTTTGCAACTAGCAAAGCAGTTGAACTAACACCCATAAATACAGGTGGGGAGACAATTAACATTCACTACTGTTTCTCTACATAGACTACTCTTTTAATGTCATTTTCTAAAAAAACAATTGCAAATAGACTACATAATATACGTGGGCAAAAAGGCAATTAAGTGGATCTCTTGAAACACTAAATGTATAATAAACAGCATATTATCAACATTTACATGATTCACATCAAAATGATGACATCCTAAAACGTATTCCTTTTAAAGGATAGATTTATCAATAAAATATTACATATCTTTAATACTCTGGTGCAATACTCTTCATACAATGCAGGAAAATTAAATGTAGGTCTAGTCATCGGCTTAATAAAGGGTCCTTTTCAATTAGCTTTTATTAATAAAAGAATCACAATTAGGTCATAAATAAACAGGCAAATTATTAATTACATGATTTGAAGTTTAGGATGGAAACTTGTAAAAATTAGTTTGACATACAGCATAGTTACCAGCTCACTACAGCCACCTGCTTAAGGTCTTGCCTTGTGTGAACTGCCCGTGGCAAAGGAGGAGTGAACATTTTAGTCACAGAAGACACAATAAACTATGTTTGGAACTCATTTTTCAAGAGGAAGAAGGAAGAAGACTTCAACAGAATCACAAGCTAATACATATCCTAGGAAAGGCATCTTCAAATCAAGGAGGCGTGTGCTTCTAGGTAAAAATTTATTCCCACCACCAACAGAGCCTCCCTCTGGATCACTAACCTACACCAACCGCACACCTTCCCACGTTCCTCAACTGGAAGTGACCCAGGGTTTTATGTTACTTCTTTTTAAATTTTTTTTCTAATTTTATTTATTTATTGGTATGTGGTGTTAAGGATCAAACCCCATGCCTCACACATGCCAGGCGAGTGTTCTGCCACTGAGCCACAACCCCCGCCCGTTGTTATTTCTTAAAAATCCCCCAGTAAAATAACCCCTAAAACAATCTTGACAATTTTCTTGGCTGTTCCAAAGCAACTGGGTACAGACACCAAGAAAGTCTACCTACAGTTTCTCACCCCATTCTGCCACGTTTAAAAAGTCACTGATTTCAGTGGGAGAGGTGACCTTAGGTGTCAGAGAGCCACACACTGGACGTGAGACACCTTTTTATTTTTTTAAGAAAGAAAGCTATAAAGACTCTGAAATTTGGCTTTTTTAGAAAAACCCAATACCATGTGCCAGATAATTTCTTCACCCCAAATATAAAATCCTATGCTTATAATTTTAAAATACTCAGCCAGCTATGGTCTGTTGTGTGCGTTTAATGCCCAGCAACAATGCAGAAGTGGGTGCGGACCTGTGCCCATCTCGCCTAGCCAGGGAGCCTGATTCACCGGTTACTGACCGCGCTGGCCTGGGGCCTGTGACTTCCTCGTGAACCGCCTCTTGAACTTGCATTTCCACCTTCTTAACCTCACACCTCAAGCTACCCCCATCTTCCTAGCCCTCTGTCTGGTTCCACCATATGCACAACGACCTGCCCTGAGAACGTGCAACCACCTTTTACCAAACACAAGACAGACATCAGCAGCCTTCCCACGGATCTTCTGTTGGCATCAGTTCATTTAATAATAGTTGGATGAAATCAGCGTGTTGGAACAAAGCTGGCCGAGATCAGGTGTTTCCATTCTGAGTGCAAAAACAACCCATCTAGAGCTACCAGCCGAGATGTGAACTCAGCAGATGTACCCGTCCCGTCACACCCTTGCATGCTGGTGCAAGACTCTGTCCCCAAAGCGCACAGTCAAAACACCACCACAAAATCCAAATGAGTCAACTTGACAATGCCGTAAAGAGAAGAGGGTGCAAACGCTGGGCCGGGAGCTCCCTGTGCAGGCTGGACAGGAAGACCGTGCTCGTTGCATCCGCCCAGGGGTGACTCAGGCCACACCTCGCTCTGAGCAATTCTGCTTCCCAGGAATACGGGGTGGGGGAGCATCAGTGTTCATTTCATCTGTGAAAATGGCGGCCATTGCACTCCCCAACCACCTCAGGGAGTGAAAGGGCTCCGCAAAGAGCGACCACCAGGACAGCCCTGCCACTCAGAACACAGCAGGAGGACTCTGGGGAGAGACCGTGACTTCCCAGCACAGTTGCTCTCACACGTGACAAGAGTCAACCTGCAACGCTGTCTTCAGACACTCTCACTGAATGACAGTTTAACACTTGAGGCAAGGGGGACGTCCCTGGAGAAGGCACTTAAGGTAGGACATCAGCAAGTCTCGCTGCTGCCTGCACAGAGGCTGGCTCACCTGGCAGCGGCTGGGCTGCTCCGCCGCCGCGCGGCCTGGCAGTGCCACAAGGGCAGGACAGAAAGCCAGCGGCACTTAGAAAGCATCACATTGGCCATGGTCTGCGAGGACAGGGGATTCAGTTTCGAATGCTCTGTCCCCCAAACACCTCTGTGCTTGCAAGACCTGTCCCTTGGGGGAGGTTGGGAACGTGTGCTCAGGGCTGAAGACGTGCTCAGAGCTTCCTGAAGGCCCTGCTCCTCTCTCAGCCTGACCTGCAGCTTCTCCCACTATCACAGCAGAAGCAGCTTCCCAAGGTCACTGGCAGCTGGTTGCCATGGCACTGGCTGTGCCAGATGTTAGACTGTGGCCCCAAGGCACTGCACCTCCACTTCATATCCCCTCACACCCTGGCTGGGTCTGTGACTTCTTTAATCAAGGAAGGGCATGGAAGGGCGGCTGTGGTAGTTGTGGTCTGAGCCTGAGGCCTGGCCAGTTTGCCCTTGAGCAGGTGGGAGCTCTGAGCAGTCAGGGGACAGGCCTCACTACCCTGCTGAGGCCCCATGGAGGACAGACCTGAGGACTCCAGCAGAGCAAAGCCCAGCCGTCCCAGTGTCTCATCGACCTGCCAACACACGGGGGACCACCCGCAAGAGCAGCAGAGGGACAGCTCTGACGGGCCCAGCTCAGATTGAGGAAGGGGGCGGGTGAGCGACACCTGACGACCAAAGCCCAGTCGGCCCAGAAGCCTGTTTAAAACACAAGACAGTCACTCAGAAGCAAAGGAAATATGGCAACTGTTTTCCCGTCACAAACGCCTGTCAACACTGAACAGGAACGGCCATCGGCTGAGAAAACACACCTCTTATCCTAGTTCATACATTTCCATGATTTTTTTTCCCATGATTTTTAACGGCGATGTGAAGACAGTCAACCTCTGACAGTCTCGGTCACTGGCTGGGAGACCATTTAGCCAAAAAAGAGGAAGCCCCCAGGTGAATTATCCACTAGGGATAAGTGCTATGAGTGAATGTCCCCAAAGTTCCTGTATTAGAAACTCAATCTCCAATGCAGCCGTGTGGAGAGGTGGGGCCTTAAAGGGGCCATCAGGTCACAGGGCTTTGCCGCCACAAATGGATTAACGTCATCACGGGAGTGGACTCATTTTAAAACCAGGCTTGGCCCTCTCTGGCTGTCCCTCAGCATGTGACGCCTTCCACCAAGTCCCCTGATGCAGCACTGAGGCTCTCAGCAGATGCCGCCCCACCCTGGCCTCCCAGCCTCCAGAACCGGAGACACAAATTGTTGTCCATTAAAAATCGCCTGGTCTGAGGCGTCCTGTCAGGCAACACAAAACAGACTAAGACAGCAGCGAGGGAAAAGGAAACAGTTCCCACTTCTCAAGGGTGCTGTTAATTTTCCCAAGCCATTTCCTTTCTCCAAGTGTCCCATCATCCCCCACAAAGAGAAAAAAAAAATCAGGCTATTTAAAAAAAAAAAAAAAACTGCCCATAACTTGAACTTGAAGCCCCATGATCTCTAAAATATAGAGCACAATTTAACTGCTTTCTTGATTTAAAACAAAATTCTATAAAATATCACATTGTCTACATTGTAGAGACGACTTCTTCTTATCTGAGGAAATGAACTGCTGAGTTAGAATACAGTGGTCTTTAAATGGCTGCAAATGTGGCTGATCAAAAGGCAGTCAGCCACGACACCAGCTTTCCAGATCCAAATCCATTCTTCACATAAACTTCCTTGTGTCTGTTCTTGAACTTTAGAGAGAAGGCGAAAGTCCACATCTGGGGAAGAAATAAGGTAGAAAATTTAAAGAGAATACGTTTAAAAGCTTAGCAAAGCACTAAGTTCTGTTTTGTATGGTTTTCAGGGCTGGGGCTGGACCCAGGCTTTGCCCGTGTCAGGCAAAGGTGCTGTGAAGGTTTCGGCAGTTGGGTTTCACAACCAGCCTCCCGGCGCTCCTTACCTATCCTTTCTTCACGGAGCTGGACTGAGTTTACCGCTCATTAACAGTAAAATTAAATACAGAATTAGTTAGGGTCAGGGTCAGGGGCAGGGCAGGGGGTCCCTGTTCCTGCAGCGTTCTTTAGAGTTGGTTAGCCGTCCAGGAGGTGCAGGGCACAGTCCGTCAGCACCTGGGCAGCTCAGGGCCCAGCGCCAGGTGGGAGTCAGGATACCTGAGCGTTCTCAGCTCTGCTGGCCCTCAACCAGTCCCATCCCAGTATGGGAGTTGGAAGCACCGAGCTGTACCCCTAGTCCCAAACCACTAAAAGGCAGATCTAAACATTTAGATACCTTACCACTGAGATGGGAATTTCAACATGAAATATACTACTAGTTTCTAGTTATTATTAAAACATACAGCTAGGTGTGGTGGCACACACCTATGATCCCAGCAACTCAGGAGGCTGAAGCAGGAGGATCACAGGTTTGAGGCCAGCCTGGGCAACTGTGCAAGATCCTGTCTCCAGATAAAAAATAAAAAGGGCTGGTATAGCTCAGTGGTAGAACACTCCTAGGTTCAATCCCTAGCACCAAGCAACAAAAATAAACCACATACTTGGGTTCCAGTCTAGAAAGGTGATTGGCAGGGAGGAGATGCATTAGGAGATGGGTTCCCAGCAGCAGAACTGATCCCATCAGAGGTCAAGAGGGTCCCCATATCTCACGGTCAGAGGCCGTCAGGGATGAAAACTCAAAACTGTGACTCCTCTCTTCCCACGACTGTCCAGGTATCACCAGATTGTGCCCAGCACCTCCTGGTTACCAGCAGCTCTAATAAATGCCGCAGGGACAGTGACCCCTCCACCCTCCCTTGCTACTGCTGTCAGCCGCTCTCCTGGTGTTGAGTGCAGCCTCAGCCCTTGCACAACTGATTCTGTATTTGATTTTGTTGCTTAATGAACTGTAAACTCAATCCAGCTTGGAGAAGGAAATGCAGGGTGAGGAGCAAGGAGGCTGGTGTGTAAAGCCCAATTACAGTGTACTCTGCTGAAATAGTCACAATTCCTTGCCTGCTTAAAAACGCCATAATTATAGAAGCAATGTGCCCAGAGCCCGCGGGCGCCCGGTACCTACTCTGGGCTGCAGTTCCCGCGGCTCTTCTCATCTGAAGCTCTTCTGCTGCTGCATCAGGCCCACGTTCTCATAGACTCTGGCATTGTCTTCTCTCATTCTGCAGAGAAAAGGAAAAGGGGGACACTCACAACCACGCAGGCCACACGATGTGAGCGTCCGTGGCACCTGCGCAGCACACCCACTTCCTGAGGAACCATCCGTTATGCTGCAGATGTCTTCTTGCCACCAGAGCAGATGTTCTTGGAAGGGACAAAAGACACAGACACACAGCAATATCACCACACAGCTATGAGGACAACAGGAGCCACCGGTCCCTGTGCTCCCTGGGGTGAGGAGGAAGTGGGGAGTCTCCAGGTGGCACAGCATGGAGCCCTATAGGATATAAGGCATTTGGGGCAAACCGTGAAGGAGGTGGGACAGGTTCATGCAACAAGGAGCCACTGTCACTTCCAACAGAGGCATCAGAACAGGGAAAAAGCTCCAAGATGGGAATGAGGCAGCAGCCGACAGGGACGAGCTCCTCTTAGCCTCGGCTCGGGGACCCTGAGGAGGATGGGCTAGTGTAGGGCCAAGGGGGGCCAGCATGCAGGAGCTCAGGTTTCTCTCTCAGCAAGGAGAGGGGATCAGAGTGGGACCCAAGCAGACAGGGACCCAGCAGCTGGGGGTGCTGGCCTAGAGGGGCTTTGGGCCTGGGATGCCCTGGGTGGGTGGAGGGATCAGGAATGGGGCGACAACCTGCCCCGCAGTCGCTGGCCTGCCATAGAAAGAAGGGAGTGGCTGGAGCCCATTCTGTCCCCCACAGGAGAGGAAGGTCATCCGGCTTCACGACAGCACTGCAAACTACTGCAGGCAGCAACCAAGAATGCCAACGTTCCCAGTCCTTGCAGGGGACGGGAAGGGGCAGGTGGAGGAAGCTCCACTGCAAGCAAGTGTGAACACGAACCTCCATCTCCACCTAAGACAGCCAGAGGCCACGTCACAGTCCGCAGGCTTTAAAACCCACATCAAAGCAAAGAGACAAGATCCTTACGGGAAAATAAGAAGTGAATGCTAAACCAGAAAGTGACTTTAGAATATGACCAGTTTAGCACGTTCCTGCTGTGTTAGGGTTAAACAGGGGTCAGCAAACGTTTTCTGGAAAGAGCCAGGAGGCAGGTGTGGCAGGCTCTGCAGGCCACCGCCTCTGTCACTTACTCTCAGGAGCTTTCTTTTTGCTTTAGATGTGGTCTGCGGGCTGCAGCGTGCTGAGCCCTGGTGTGAACACCCACTGACCGGCAGGAAACCAGCATATCAAGGTGAGCGCGCATACCAACGCCAACTCACTTCCTCTTATTCAGAAAGAGTCTTAGTACATCAACAAGGGATGCTGCCTCCCTCTGCAACAGTCCCCGCCACTGCAAACCGAAACCTGGATTCTTCTTGGAGAGTCACCACTTGATAAGCTCAGAATCCCATACAGAGCACAGCGGCTGCCTTCAGTTGGGGCAAAAGAAGATGGAGTTGGGACGGCACTGCCACAATCCACAGCACCGCCAGCCATGGGGCGGCCATGCAGGGCCTGTGCTCTAGGTTTGTCACGGATGCTTTCAAGCCTTTATGGAACACCATACTGTCCCGGCAGAAAGAGGTTCCTTCATCGCTACTTACTCTGCACAGGGTGGTGTTGGGGTACAAGGTGGCAGGGGACTCTGGTCTCCACTTGTCTGGTCCGTTAGGGAATATTTAATGTTGGTATATTCGTGTCCTTTCCTCTTGCTCTTCTGAAAGTTCAAAAGGTGTGGATGAGAAGAACTGTGACGTTTTTTATAGAAATGAAGGAGCAAAAAAGGTATTCACCAAAGAGGGCCGACAGGTTAGATGGTCAAGAACGTCGGTGTTCTTTCTGACCGTGATGTTAGGGAGCTCACCTCCTCAATATAAACACACCACCCCGATCAAAGTCCATTTGAACCCCACAGTTTGAAAGCACACAGGGTCACACACGGACCACTTACTAGGCCCTGAGCCTAACATGCCTATCTCTGGCTTCGAGAGGATCCCCACTTCCTGAGCCACCCCAGCAGTAATCATTTCAGAGTTCATGTGCACCCCATCTAATGATTTTCAGATAAACAGCCAAGAAAGGCGCTCCAGAAATAAACCCACTCCAAGTACAAAGGGCACACGGTACAGAAGATGGTTCCACTCTGAGGAGAGAAATGACAGTGCACTTTACCCCATCTCCCACCACTCCCCTCTCCCACAAAGACACCAAAACCCTGAAACTTCATTTTGGCTGAAATGATGCCCTGGGGGTGGAAGGAGGCCAAACAAACAAACAACAAACCCAGGAGGAAGTCATCGTGTCTCAATGTGGAGTGAGCTATATTCAGTAGGACTCCTGGTTAGATGGCTTATCCCCCTTTTCTATTCCTATATTCACCTAAAAACAACCAATTCTGAAAATCTACCCATCAAAGGGGCGTCATTATATAATGCTGCCTTCATTTTAAGATTGCTCGGGCAAGTGCGGAGAGCACACAGCACGGCCGCGTCAGACACTGTTGGGAACGCCATCCCCTGCCATGGGGTAAACTGGTGCCATCGCTTGATGTACAATTAGTTCATGGAAGCAGTACTAACTAGTTAGTGTTTAGTAAAAATGAAAAGACATATATCTTGCGATCCTGAACATCTATTTCTCTTTGAGAAAACCTGGCACTTAAGGGTTGTACAAGGGTGGCCTGCGACAGGCTACTCTTAAGAAAGTCAAACAGAACAAAGGAAAGCCTCTGTCCACATGGTGGAGTAACAGGCAACAGAGAAGAGGAGCCGACACAAGGCACAATCCCTGCATCAAAACAGGTCCCACAGCTGCAGGACAACACTAGGGCAGGCTGCCGGCTGGGAGGCCATTCCAAACAGGCCTCAGAGACACTGTGCGAAGACATTTGTACCTTAAATGTAAAATGAGTCCCTGATGCTGTTGACTGCTTTAGGGTTTTGTGGGTTGAATTGAGTGAGGGGGCAGGGGTAGGGGTCAAAGGGAATCCCACCTGGACCTATCACACTAGATGTTTTTAGAAGAGGGAAAAAAAACCTTTAAAGAAATGTGACAAAGTAAAAGGACAATTATGGGTTGTGATACTGTATACTTTTAAATTTTTTCAAAATAAAAATGTAAAACACAAAAGAAATCTAAATCCATCAGGGAAGTACCTTTTTTCTCTTCTACTCAAAACCCACAAAAGAACAAATGATCAACTGTGGGAAGCTCATACAGGTGGAGGAGGGAACCGCCACCACTCCAGGCGGTGAGCTGCAAGGCACCCCTGCTTCAGCACCACAGAACCTGGACCAACAAGGAGCATCCGCACTCAGACCTCAGCAGGAAAGGGAAACCCCTGGGCGTCAGTGTCACTGAGGTGGAAGGCAGTACCAGGGAGGCGAGAAGACCTGGGGACACAGGTGGCTAGACAGTGGGGGCGTCCTGAAGAGAGCCAGTTCCATACAGCAGACACGCCCATTTTCTGAGGGGCTTTTCTTCTTTTATTCTTTTTATTTATTCTAATTAGTTATACATGACAGCAGAATGCAATTCAACCTGTAGTACACAAACAGAGCACAATTTTCCATGTCTCTGTTGAACACTATAGTAGAGTCGCACCATCCATGTTTTCACCGAATGATGTCCGTCTCATTCCCCTGTCTTCCCTACCCCCATTCCCCCCTTCCCCTCCCTCCCCTTTCCCCTATCTAAATTTCTCCATTCCTCTCATCTGCCCCCCAGCCCCATTATGAATCAGCATCCTTGTATCAAAGAAGACATTCAGCATTTGGTTTTTTGGGATTGGCTTACTTCATTATATTCTCCAGCTCCATCCATTTACCTGCAAATGCCATGATTTTATTCTTTTTTATTGCTGAATGATACTCCATTGGGTATATACACCACATTTTCTTTATCCATTCATTTACTGAAGGGCATCTAGGTTGGATCCACAGTTTAGCTATTGTGAATTGTGCTGCTATAAACATTGATGTGGCTGTGTCCCTGTAGTATGCTCTTTTTAAGTCCTTTGGGTATAGACCAAGGATTGGGATAACTGGGTCAAATGGTGGTTCCATTCCCAGTTTTCCAAGGAATCTCCATACTGCTTTCCAGATTGGTTTCACCAATTTACAGTCCTGAGGGGTTTTTCTTGGTGTCAGGCCACCCTCCTGGCTGAGGCTGACTGGAAGCGGGGGAGCATGTTAGCCCTCTGATAAACTACACAGCTGCCCTCCATATCCACAGGTGCCACATCTCCAGATTCAACCAACCATGGATCAAACTATCCAAAACATGCACAGACTTTCCTGCTGTTATTCTCTGAACCATACAGTGAGTGGAAGAGTTATTTAACAGAGAGCATTTATACTGTTCCATGGATCACAGTAATCTAGAGATGATTCAAAGTACAGGGGAGGAGGTGTGCAGGTTCTATGCAAATACTACGCCATTTATAGAACGGATGGCAAGTCTCCGTAGATCCTGGTATCCATGTGGGCCCTGGAGCTCTTTGCCATCAGATACTGAGGGATCAATGTACTTCGTAAGGAGTCATAATAACCTCCTGAACACCAGCACATGGATGTGCTCCCAGAACAAACGTGACAAAGCATTTGAGACAACAAATCCAAGTCAAAGCTGTTGACCTCCTCAGCCACCAAAGAACCTCTCCTAAGAACCCACTTAATAACGAGTGGGCATTGGAAAGGGCCAGGATAAGACTGCACACACGCCCACTGCAGGGAACAGAGAACAGGATGAAAAAGGAGCCAAGTGTAGCGGCACACACCTGTATCCCCAGCTATTCAGAAAGTTGAAGCAAGAGGTTCACAAGTTCAAGGCCAGCCTGGGCAACTTTGCAAGCCCCTGTCTCAAAATAAAATTTAAAAAGGGCTAGGGTTGTGGCTCAGTGGTAGAGCGCTCTACCATGTGTGAGGCTCTGGGCTCCGTCCCTAGCACTGCGGGAAAATAAACAAAAAATCAAAATGAGAAAGGAACAATAAGTAAAAGGCAGATAGAGAAGCAAATCACAAAAGAAATGAAGGAGAGAAAAGGAAAAAGTCAATGCTCACATTAGCCTCACAGACTCTATGCCATGAACTTTCTTTAAAATGAGCTCAACTAGGAGATTATAAAACCACAGAGGAGAGGAAAGCTGAGCTGGGACAGACCAGGGAGACATGGAAAAAGAAAGACAAAAATTATTTAGAGACTGAAATCCAATTAAAGGCAGCAAAAATAACTAAAAATTCAGAAGGAGGCACTGCAGATAACGCAGAGAAAATGTACTACAAAACTATGTTTCAAATGAAAAAAGAAAGGCACATAAGAGATTCAATATGCACAACACAATTCCTGAAAAGAACAAGAAGAAAGCTTCTAAAATAAAATGCAAGAAAACACCCCTCGGATTAAAATAAAAATTTAAAAACATCTGAATCTGCATTTTAAGAGCCTATAAAGTAGGAGAAGCTATATAGCAATTTCCCAAACATCAAAGAAACAGAGAGGATCATGAGTCTCCAGGCAGAAAACATAGGGGGAAACAATCAAACTGGCTTTAGATTTCATACAAACACACAATTTTTAAAATCCTGTGGAAAAGATCACCCAAGAATTTCATACCCTGCTGAATTACCCTTTAGATATAAAACCTGTTCAGACATTGATAAGCATGCAAACACTTGAAATATAATACCTTCTTTAAAAAATCATGATCAAATCAAAAGAAATAATTAAAAAAAAATAGAAGTTATAAAAAAAGACTCAAGCTGGGCACAGTAGCACACACCCACGATCCAATCTACTGTAGCCAGAGGATCACAAGTTCAAGGCCAACCTGGGTGACTTAGTAAAATTCTTTCTCAAATTAAAAATTAAAGAAGGCCTGGTCAGTGATAGAGCACCCCTGAGTCAACTTCCAGTGAGGCAAGAGGATCACCTATCAAAAAAATAAAATAAAAATATCTTAAAGACTAAAGCACTGATTTAAATACAGTGCTAGGCTAAGCAGCTGTAGCAATTGTATGTTTAAAAAGCCATAAACCATGTTAAAAAATAGTTTTAAAAATATGTAATTCTCTTTCATAGGTGGGATTAAATACAAATTAAATAACAAAAACAGTGAAACATGCTCACTTTGTAACAGCCACGATTTGAATACCATCGTATTAATTTTCACAGCGACCTTTTGAATAGACACTTTTCTTGATCCTATTTTACAGATGAAAAAAACGCACAACTTCTAGGCCAAGCCCTTAGAAGAGCAGTTGGCAAAACACTGGCTTGGGACACACATCTAGCACAAGGCCTGGATTTTGTAAGGGCTTCAAGATAAGTAGAGCTTTTACATTCAAAAGGTTTTAAACAAACCAAGGAAAAAGAACAAGAGGGGAACAGCACATGTGGCTGCAAAGCCCGATCCTCTACTCTGACCCTTCACTGAAAGTCTGCTGACTCCGACATAACAGGCAGTCGCGGCCCCCTGCCTCCTTGTGCTCCCTGCACCCACGTGGAAAGGGAACATTCTAGAGGACAACAGAGCTACCACAGAACGTGCCTGGCTTCTCTGATGACTCGGGGAACAGGCCACCCTACACCCCCTTCCCAAATTGCCTGTCAGATCAGACTTTTACATAGAAGAGAAATAAGCTTCTGAGTTATGCGAGCCACTAATATTTAGCCTCTATCAACGGATGAAGCAGTCGTTAGAGAATTTTAATCTAGGAA